AGCTGTCTCCCAAGCATAGGAATAGCAAGAGGTATTTCTTAAAATGACCATTTAAGAGCAGCTCTGGTTTCTGGGCAACCTGTAAATTGTGGGGAAAAGGCTTTGGTTGGTTGTGATACGGTGATGCTTCTTTACCACTTGGTGGCCATGTGGGGAAGGAGGAGGTGTATGATGAGTCCAAGTTTGGTGGTGGTGGGTTCCTGGCTTGAGGGTTCCTTCCCCAGGCCTTGCCTTCTACTTGGGGACACCGTCCTCCCCCACCCCTCTGCCTGGACACAGCTGCCAAGGAGTCAGGTCCCGGCTCTGGCTCAGTTTTGTCCATGGCATAGAGACCTTGGAGGAGTAAGGGTACCAGGGACTCTGGATCTGTTCCTGATTCCTTCCTTCGTCCAGGTCGTTGGCAGCCTGCCCGAGATACTTGCAGCTCTAACAACTTTTACTGAGAGGAAAGTACTTTATAAAATGGAATGGAAGCTTGTACTTCAGTATGGGTGGGATAAGGCAAGGTTACTTGCCCAAGATTTATCCTAATCAACAGTTCCTGCTAATGCAGTATCTAAATTACTGCCCGCCTGAGAGTGCATCCGATAATGGGCGGCGAATTGTGGCTCACTTTCTAAACATCAGAACCCTTAATCCTGCACCCTGATCAATGTCCAGGTGCCCAACGGGCCTTTGTACAGTGCAGTTCAGGTGGCTGTGACATCTGTCACCAGACACTGTCATTCTAAGAACATGGCTGTCCCATGTTGGCTGGCTTTATAGCTACAGGGTCATTTTCTCTCTGGCTGGTAGCAAAGAGGGTCAAGTTCTGTTAGTGGGACTTCGTCACAGATAGGAGGAAGATAGCATCTAGAGAGGCGTGTGGGTGAGGGGAAGGGTGAATGGTACGTGGGCTACATCTTTTCTTACCGTCCCGGCCTCTTCTTTGTAGCTAGGGATGAGCTGGTCTCTCGGTAAGAGAAGTCTGCCTGCTCCTCCACCACCCAGTGCAGGGCTCCATGAATCGTCCAGGTGTCCAGAGAGAATGAAAGCTGGTTTTGGCCACTAGAACAACTGTCACTGTGCTGAGCTCGTTAAGAGCACCGTCATCCTCTGCCTGGCCCTCTCCTTCCTGGGCTGTGGGCACCCCCCGCGGGGGAGTCCCCTGCGCACGCTGTCTCTTCCTCTGGCGTCCGTGCTGTGTCAGGCCCCTGGTTGGGTCTCCTGTCATTGGTAGAGAATGTGATTTCACTTCCACTCCCCACCACCTGCTTAGAGCTTGCCCTGCTTTTCGCTTGGGGCTTTGGAGTCTTCCCTGGGATGTGGCTCTGTCCCAGCCGCTTTGGGTTGTCGCCTCTCACCTCGCTTCTCTCTAGGAGGTGTCCAAGCACCCTCCTTCTGGAGCTTTGTGCACTTAAGCCCCACATCCCTGATGAACCCAGGCTCCCAAGGGGGGTGCTGTGTCCCTGCCGGGATGAACAGACACTGAATGCTGCTGTCTGGCCTGTTTGCCTCCGAGGCCCCAAGTTCCTTGAGGGCCGTGATTGTCCCGTCCTGTGTTACCAATAGGAGCTCTAACCTTGACGAAGGTCAGAGGAGAAAACGCCTACTAGCTGCCAGACCGGGAATGATTGGCGGCCTTGTGGCTTCCCTGTTCTGATGAGAGTGTCTGTGCTCACAGGGGTGGCTGGAGGCCTCACATTGATGGCATGTTTGGCCCTTCCAGGATCTGTGTGTCCACCACACCGCTGACACCTCACAGCTGCCCTGTGATGGCAGCTGGCGAGGCCCCCTCTTACCCAGGTGTCCTGCCATCGCCCCAGTCCTAGCAGGTCTGGAACTGAGCTCGTCAGCTGCCCGAAACAGGTTCTGGCTTCTGAGCGCTCCCAACCTACCGGCCCAGGCTCCCGGGGTGTACATATGATACACCTTTGACTCACGTTTCACTTCATACCATCTCCCACGGGTCCGCCCAACTTGCTATTTGCCAAGTACAAACTCATCACTGGGCAGAAGGCCCGTGGGCCTCCTTTTATGGCCCTTCTATTGCAGGGGGACGTGGCCTGGGCCCTCCGGGCTGGGCACCTTCCAACTGTCCTCTCCCCCTCTGCTAAGAGGGCCCCATGTGGGGCCTGTCTGTTGAAATAGGAGACCTTTCTTCTCAAAAATCTGTCGTGTTTACATCTGAGACCACTTGGTTTGTTGTGTACCGGCATCCAGACCCCTGAAGTGGTGGGTGTGACTCCATGCTCCTCTCATTACCTGCCCTTGTCACACTTACGTGCATTCTGTGGAAGGTTTTGACTCATCATGAGCAGCTGGATGCTCCGGTAGAATCTCACCAACCATTGTGATATTTGCCAACTCCATCCTGCCCTTACATGCTTCTCTACTTTTCCACCCCCTCTGCCTGGAGTAGCATTCTCCTCCTTATCTTCTGAGAAAGCTTCTACTCATCCTTCAAGACCCAGGGAAGGAGCATACCTGCCTCAATCAGCATATACCCCATACTGCGTCATAATTACTTGTTTTTACTATTGTCTTCACTAGACTGCCTGGTCCATGGGGGCAGGGACTAGGTCTGATTTATCAATATTTCCCTAATACACAACATTACGGGGTTCAGGGAGTGTTGGTGGAATGGACCTACCCATTTTTCACAAGTATTTACTCATAAATGTCTGAGTGCCAGGCACTCTGCTAGGCACTGGGCACATAGGGGTGAACAAGGTAGACGGGGTCCCCCTGCCTCCATGGGGAGGTAAGCAAGGCCAGTTAGCAAGGAAGCAGGTATATGGACGAGATACTTTCGAATGGCTGTGCTTCAAAGGGGCTGCTGTAGATGGAGGTGTGCAAGGAAGGCCTCTCTCAGAAGACACATGGGAGCAGAAACCTGGACGATGAGGAGAAACCAGCCATGCAAAGAGCTGGGAAAGCGCGCTCAGGGCTGAGGGGATGGCAAGTGGAAAGTTGCAGAGGAGAAGGTCTTGGAGTGTTGGGCGGAAGACAGGAGACTGATGCTGCTAGAACATGAGCAATGGGGAGAGCAACGTGGGGTTGGCCTGGCCAGATCCTACACTGCCTCTTTCGTAGGTCACCGTGAGCGAGCAGTTTGGATTTTTTTTTCAGGAGTAGGGGAAAGTCCTCAGAGGGAAGTATTTCAGACTTTCAGTGTCTCTGAACAGGTGGGAATGTGCTGATTATTGCCCTGCTTCTGCTTCCCCCCACTTTCCTGCTACCTCTCCTTTCTCCCCCACTCCCGCGCCACCCCCCAGCTTGCTTCCATTCAGGCCCTGAGATCTGCACACGGGCGTTTGGGGTCTCTAGCTGTCTGGCTGCTCTTCTCAGCAGGGGCAGCTCTGTTCCTTGTGCAGCCTTGCCCGGCTCCTGCCACAGCCCTGAGGTGCCGACGAGGCTCCCACCCCCTCCACAAGCTCCCATTCTCATTCCCGAGTTGATTGTGCAATGGTTCTTGGCCTGCTGAAGCCCAGTGCCTGTTCCCAAACCCTCCTTGGCCTTTGCGCCTATGAATCACTGCCTTCCCCCTCCACACACATCGTTGCTTATCTCTCTTTGCCGTGCCCAGGGGAACCAGCCTCTTGGACTTACCTTGGTTCTCCCGCCCAGAGCCTACCCTGTTGAGTTTAAAGTCTGTCCTCCAGTGAGCTGCCCTGGCGCAGATACATCCTGAGATTATTGCCTCACTTTAAAAACAAAAAGGAAAACAGCTAGCTTGTGTTGAGCACTTACTATCTGTAAGGGAATGTACTAAGTATTTTCTATGAAATATTAATTCCTCATTTAATCATGACATCAACATGGTGAATCAAGTGCTGGTATTATCCCCATTTTACAGATGAGGATACTGAGGCTCAGAGATCACATAGTAAATGGCAGAGCAGTGTTTGAACCCAGACTATTTGAACTGCTACTGCCTGGTACAGTCCCCTGTGGTTCTTTGTAGTCCTAAAATCTTTATCCACACCATCTCCAAAGCCACTTCCCTGTGGCTGCTCACTTTGCTTTCTTCTCTTTGGGAAAGTCCAACTCCACAGGGAACATGGGCCAAGACCCTCAGGACCCCCTGTTTCCTTACCCATGCCATCCTGGGGTAGAGGAGCCAGACCTCTACGCCCATTGGGTACATGCGGGGCTTTTGCTGAAGGAGCAAACAACAGTTCCTGCCTCCAGTTTATGGACGAGAAGTAGGGATTGCAAATACCGTTGTCAGTCTCTCCCTGCCAGCCAGGGAGCAGGTGGGAAGCAAGAAAAATGGGAAGAGCCTGCAGGAAGACAGTTTGGCTGCAAGACCTTTTGTAGAGGCGGGGTTGTCCCGAGATGGCACCAAACGCCATCTTCCCCCTTAGACGGGAGACTCAGCACGGGGGCGGGGGGGGGAGGGGGGAGTGGCTGCACTGTGTATCCTTGGAGACGCCCTTCAGGCCTGAGGAGATGGGATGCTGCACCTTGCATGATGTTGGGTAGAGTAGAACTCACATGGTAAGAGGAAGGGCTCCAGGTTCCTGGGACAGAACTCTCCCCACAACAGCGTGCCTACAGCTTTCTGGGGCCCTTTGGACCATACGAGAAGTGAAAGTGGTCGTGGGGGTCTCAGCCCGGGTCATACCTACCCAACGAAAGCGTTGCAGGTGCAGGAGAATGCAGCCGGGAGACAGCTGCCTGCCTGCTGAGACCATCGCAACCCCTGCTGCAGGGCACATCCTCTGTCCCTGACTCGCAGGGGCGCTTCCCCCGTGCTGGAGGCAGCTTCTGGAACCTGGGACTCTAACGGTGGCTCTTCATTTCAGGAGTGAGTGGGATCGCATGCTAAAGGTTCATGGAGACGGCACACTCGTGCCAGGAGGGCAAGGCTCGAGAGATGACAGAATCGGGGGCTCGCCTGCCAGGATCCTCGTGGGAGTGTGCTGCACCATAATGAAGGAGGGCTGGCGGGCTTGCGCACAGCACGTGGACCTCTCTGTGACTTTTCCTTTGTTCTGTGCTTGCATTTTCAGTAGGAGAAGGAGGAGACCGAGAGGAAAGGAGTCATGGCTTCGGATGCCAGTCATGCTCTGGAAGCTGCTCTGGAGCAAATGGACGGGATCATCGCAGGTACGGGCAGGAAGCCCTCACCACTCATGGCTTGCCCTCCACACTGGAGGAACCCTTTTCCCTCCTGACCTTTCTTTCTGGCACAGCAAGAAGCCCCTCGGTAGATGTATTGTCTTTCATTGTGCATGCCATCTCTTTGTGTAAGAGTTCAGACTCGTAGGATTCTTTGATACCTGGTGTGAAGTTAGGGCTGCCGAGATGGCGTGGGTGCACCGCACGGTGGTGAGTCGCCAACTGCGGCACAGCGTGGGTCCTGGCTCTGAGGCAGTTTGGCTGCAACAAGATCACTTTTACTGAAAATTGGCCAGAGCACATCATGGCTTACCCAGTCAAGCTGAAAGGAAACTCCAAGTCTGGCGACTTTGCCACCGTAATGCCCATGTCAGCTCCCTTCCCCAGCTGGTCTCCAGTGTGTTTGTGAATTGGGAGGCAGTTTGGTATCGATTCACCTCATCGCCTAAAGATTGTTCTTGGGACGCCTGGGTGGCTCAGTCGGTTAAGCATCTGACTCTTTCTTTTTTTTTCTTTTTAAAGATTTTGTTTATTTGAGAGAAAGTGAGAGCACAAGCAGGGGGGAGGGGTAGAGGGAGAGGGAGAAGCAGACTCCCCTCTGAACAGGGAGCCTGACATGGGGCTGTATCCCAGGACGCTGGGGTCATGACCAGAGGTGAAGGCAGATGCTTAAGTGACTGAGCCACCCAGGTGCCCTGGCATCTGACTCGATTTTGGCTCAGGTCATGATCTCAGGGTCCTGGGATCGATCCAGTCCCCCTTCAAGCTCCATGCTCAGCAGGGAGTCTGCCTGAGGATTCTCTCTCTCCCTCTCCCTCTGCCCATCCTGCTTGTGCTCTCTCTCTCTCTCTCTCAAATAAATAAATAAATCTTAAGGAAAAAAAAGAGAGAGAATGTTCTTTATGCCATATTGTATGTTGTGTATATAACTGACTGGTTCACATTCACCAGTTAGGAATATTCCCTAGCAAAGATCCAGCAAAACTGGTTAATTGGAAAAGGCTGCCAGTGGGCTGTTTGGGCTAATTAACTCTGCGACAGGGGGAACCCACGCCCGTATTGATTAGAATAAACCTGTCATTGCAAATCTTTCCCGAAGATTCCAGGTCCTCTTTCCATCCTGACCTGATAACAAGTCCGTGACCTTATTTGCCATGCTGGGCATGCTTCTTTGGGACTTTGCTCCTCATCGTGTGGAGCTTCAGCAGGAGGAGGCCAGGGAGGGGGGTTTGGGCTGAGTGTGGCTAAAGCCCAGGATGTGCGTGGGTACCTGATACTGCCCCATTGCCCCTTGCCAGGCATTTGCTGCTTCTTCCACCCTGCAGAGAGAATCAGACTCACAGAGGGTTCTGGGTGTTGGTGCCTGGGGTGAGGGTGGGGTTGTGGATTGAAGAGTCTTCATGTTCTTGGTGACACTGTAACATGTTCTAGCTGTCATCTGTCAGGCTCTCAGTTTCTCAGTGAACAGAAGGGCTCTTGAGAGCCCTGACTAATGCTTTCCAGAGGCTCCATAGATTGGGATGTCCTGTCTAGGTTAGGGCCTCCGAAGCCCCACCAAGAGGAAACAGTCAAGAGCGTGGATTTCCTAGGGGTACTTTCACAGAGTCAAGTCTGGAAGCTGCCAGGGGCTCATGTGAATTGAGATTGGAGCCACAGGGTCAGACCCTCACACCTTAGAGCTCTTTGGATGGCTGTGAGGGATGAATGGACACCTCCTAAAGAAGGCAGCTGATATGGGGTCATTCCTCTCCCTGCCTCCCAGTTTCTCCACATTGGCATTCCGAAAATGATGAAGCCTCTGGCAAAATGCCCTGTCTCAGAGAGCTGTATGTGACCCTTGGGGCTTGGCCTTAACACAGGATCTGCAGGTGAGGATCTGGGATGGACAAGGGGGAAAGGCCCTTGGCATGGGTTGTGCAGAACCCAGGAAGCCCATCCTTCTGCCTTTCTAGCACAGAGTTCTCCCTCCTTCCTCCCTTTCCTTCATCCTCCACCTTGGTTGATCCTTCTAGGAGGGCTCCTCGGGCTGCTATGCCTGGAACAGGTGTGAGAGCTTGTAGAGAGGCGATTCTAAGACATCCCAAGGCATTCTTTGCAGATTGGTCAGGAGGAACCCCTGCAGCCAGGCTGCTTGGCTCAAATCCTAGCTCTACAACAAGCTATTTACCTGACCAGGCCTCAGTTTCCTCATATTTAGAATGGGAATAATAATAGTACCCACCCTAGAGGGTTGCTATGTTTACACACATAAGGTGCCAAGAATAGTCCTAAGCACTATAAAATGTTAGCTTTTGGTAAATTAGGGATAAAAAATCTTTATTATGTTACATCTTCTCTAGGGACACGGTAGAGTTCTTATTTATTCAGGACCTCAGCTCACCCATTTGAGTTTTGTGTGTTTCATTGTATAAGGCTTGTGCGTGCCTTGCTAGACTCGCCTGGGGTCTGCAAGATTCATGCATAGTCTTCTGAGTGGTCTCTGCCCCGTTTCTGGCCCTCTCCGGGCTGTCTTCCACAGAGCAGCAGAACGATCCTTGAAACGTACATCAAATCACAGCATTCCTCTCTCCAAAGCTCGTCAGGCTTAAATCTGAAGTCCTCAACGGAGCCAGCACTTCTAGATGCGATCTGGCCTTTGGCCGCCTTTGTGGCCACACCTCCTACCGCTTTCCTCCTGGCTTAACCTTGGCTTTAGCCTGCACACCAGCTGTCTCAGGACCTTTGTGCTTGCTGCCCCCATTGCTGGAATGCTGTCCTCCAGATACCCTCTGATCTGATCTCTGCCGCAATGTTGCCACATCAGAGAGGTCTTCTCTGATCCTCTCTAATTAGCATCACCCCCTCCTATCACTCTCTCCTGATATCCTGTTTATATTTCTTCACAGCACTGATAACCACCTGACCTATTACATTCACATTTGTCTCTTTGTGTGTCATCGGCTTCCTGCACCAAGTTGTAAGTTCCATGAGGACTGAGGCTTTGCTACTCCATCTCCAGCACCTCAGTTGGTCTGCAGCACATATTAGGTGTTTAATAAGTACTTGTCACATACACATTTTATTTACTTTTGTGAATAGGAGCCAGTTGTTTGTTTCTATACATACCTTCTTCTCTGGCTGTGCATTGAACTTCATTTATTATTTTCTCTGGTGCCTTTCACTGATTCTTCTGGGCCCACAAATCACTCATTTTTTTTTTGAAGATTCAGTGATTGGCATGTCCTGTGAACCATCTCTCAAGTATTAATTGTCTCACACAGACATTGGACAGGAGCTATTTGGCAGATGATTGAACATTAAGGTAATTAGTGAGTGTCTGGAGGGTATACGTTCTACATCTTGTGATGACAAGAATGATAATTTTTTAAAATTTTTTAAAAAGATTTTATTTATTTATTTGAGAGAGAGAGCATGAGCCGGGGGTAGGGGTAGAGGGAGAAGCAGACTCCCTGCTCAGCAGGGAGCCCGATGCGGGACTCGATCCCAGGACGCTGGGGTCATGACCAGAGGTGAAGGCAGATGCTTAACCGACTGAGCCACTCAGGCGTCCCAAGAATGATAATTATTGAATGTCTTTGTGCAGGATACTCTTCTGCAAGATTATTAATACCCTCCTCATATTCAAGGTGGTTGGGCCAAACTGGACCAAAGAGCTTAAGAGTTTTTGTGGTGGTTAATGTGGACTAGGGAGTTAGACTTTTGGGGTTTGAATCCCAGCTCCATCACTTAGGACTGGCTGTGGGATCTTTAGACAAACTTTTTAATCCCTATCTGAGCTCAGTTTCCTTATATATAAAATAGTGGTATTAATACCTATCTCATATTATTGGGGGGATTAAGTTAATGCAAATAAGGCACATAGGAAGTGCTCAGTTGGTATAAGTGACTTTGTTGAGATTAGTACCGACATTATGATTTTTACCACCCAAGGTCACGGATTTGGAGTCCAGAGCCATCTGAGCCTCTTCTGGGCTGCTTTTGTGCCTGCATCGGTTTTATAATGATGTGTAATAGAGCCCCAGGGGCTCTGTGGGGCCATCTGTAGAGAAGAGTTAACGAGGAGCGGGGTCAAGTTCTGTTCTTGCTCCCAATCCCCTAGCCAGAGTGACTCTGCTCTCATCTCTCTTCCACATCAGACTTCCACGTGAGGGTTCCTTTGCTGAAAGGGTGGCAGCCAAGAGAATGTTTGAAAATTGCATTACCACATCATGATGCCACAGATCCCGCAGAAATGACATTTTTCTGTGAACATTTACCTCGTCCTTTCTGCATTTCTATCTCATATTAATTTGAATGACGTCAAGTGATGCCAACACTACCAAAACACAATTGCTTTTGCATCTGTTAAGGTGCTCAAATGAGTACCCAAGGACTGTATTTATTCTCTCATTTTCTTTTTTTTTTTCAGAGTTCAGCATGAGTACTTTTATATAACTGAAGGAAATTAAGCCACATATGTTGAAGATGAACTGTTGAGAAAATAGTACATTTTATTTATTTATTTATTTTTAAAGATTTTATTTATTTATTAGCGAGCGAGCGAGAGAGAAACAGCATGAGCGGGGAGAAGGTCAGAGGGAGAAGCAGGCTCCCCGCTGAGCCGGGAGCCCGATGCGGGGCTCCATCCCAGGACCCCGGGATCATGACCTGAGCCGAAGGCAGTTGCTTAACCAACTGAGCCACCCAGGTGCCCGAGAAAATAGTACATTTTAAAAAGGAGATTCCTACAATCAGTTGACCATTCCATTCACATTAAAGCACTCATAATTGGAGTATTTTTTATTTTATGTACAATGAGTTGACATTGAAGTAGGTATCTTGGTTATCTGCAGTTAAGGTAGGTTATCTTGGATGACCAATTCAAGGAAGTTCACTTAATCCAACTTAATGAAACCTATATCCTTTGCGTACTGACGGAAACACCGGCGGCACATACTGAGGCCGTAGTTCCGGATCAGACCGTGCCGGTTTGAGCAGACGTGGCAAGA